GCTCATCATAAAAATGAGAAAACAAAAACCTGAATTTATATTATTTATCAGACTAATGACATTTTTTTGTTTTTTTGTATTACTTTTGCCACAGTTTCCCACAGATGTAACAAACTAAGATGGAGGGACAGTATTCTTTGCTTACTATTCAATCATTCCTAGTTGGAGGCTCACATTTGAACTATTTATGGGTCATGATTAGCGCCTCTGTGCTGTCTTTCAGTCCAGCTTTGCCCAGCCACTGGTAGGACTTCTGGATGTCAGTCACTTGTGTTAAATAGGCCCTTGACAGCATAAGACCCACATCATGTATAGCTGCTTCACCAGTAATTATGTGCTGTTATATTTTCCAGTCAGACAATCAGCACATTTGGTGTAGTGCATTTAAACAAACTGGAAGACCCGGATATCATTAAACACTCCTCTGAATAATAAATGCAGCCTTTATAACGCAGGTTACAGTTATTCACAGCACTTCAGTTACCTGTTACATTCCCCGTGTGGTCAGGTGGGACAGTTGTGCTATAACACAGTCCCGTGTCATTAAAACCTACATTCTGAGCTTCTAATCCTCATTCAACTTTTGTCACATTGTGCTAAACACTGATCATTGAAATGTAGCTGAGTTTAAATGTTATTGTATGCAGATTGAAGAGGTTCCAGGAGATTTCACACAGGATGACTTAGCTGAAGATGACGTGATGCTGCTGGATGTCTGGGACCAGGTACTCCACTGTAGAACATGACAGACATCTTAGGACAAAGTGAACAACCCCTCACACGCACTCTTCTGTTGTAGGTGTTTGTCTGGATTGGAAAGGATGCAAACGAGGTGGAGAGAGCTGAATCTCTCAAATCTGGTGAGCTTTTGACTTTAGTCAGAATGTTATTAGGTAGCATGAGACAAACTATAGTAATATTCAAAGATCTTTGAATAATAAAGAGACTATTTGAACCTGTTCTGAAATACAATAGCTAACAGCTAATGGGAACCCTTAATTATATTGTTTTTTAGATTTTTATCTACAAAATTCATCCTACAACAAACTTTTGTTTGAGGTTCCTGTCTGTGACTCACTGTCTCCTCTGCAGCCAAACAGTACATTGAGACTGACCCAGGGGGGCGTGACAAGCTGACTCCTGTGGTGGTGGTGAAACAAGGCCATGAACCTCCCAACTTCACAGGCTGGTTCCTGGCCTGGGACCCTTCCTACTGGGACTCTATCACCAGGAGCGTGAAGTCTCTGAATGTTTAAAACATTCACATGATAAATCACCAGAACACAGAAATATTATCATCTTTATAATCAGCACAATTTAAATATATATCCACATGTGTACTGTCAGTCGTAGATTTCTTCCCTAAAGTTTGAATACAACAAGCCTCTAAACTTTAGAGGCTTGTTGTATTCAAAGCAGTCTGTATTAAAATCCTTTAATGGGAACAGTCCTGTATTCACTGCGCGATAAGCTGCTTTCTCATACCAGCTGAAACAACTCAGCTTGCTTTGATAGTAATCAGTAATTAAAGGTTTTTATGGCGTGCATAATGTTACGAGTGTTTATGAAGTCTTGGCCAGCTGAGGGTTTCAAATGAAGCGATACTAGCTCTGCTCATCCCTGTTAGTACTCTTATTGCAGCATATTGGATTAACTGAAGGCTACTGTGTCATCTTCTAGTTCAGCAGTCCAGGGCATTATTCTCTGGAAGGATGTTCCTGATTTTGACAATATTGTGCAGCTGAAATAAAGCATGTAAACTTCAGAGCTATATAATAAAAGTAGATAATCAAATGTTGGAAGTTCCTGCGTTCTGTTCTTCTTTGGTCTGTTTTAACACATCCACGGTGCAGGCAGTAATGGTTTACACCTCCTGATGCATCATCATCTGCCAGGACACTGGAAAGTTTTCTTTGCCATCTGTTTTTGTATCGGTCCTTCTGAATCCCTTAAACTTACAAAAACAGCAGTTTTAAAAAATGCAAATGCATTGCTCTGAATATGTGTATTGGCTGCTCTGTGCTTGCAAGATGTGTACTGGGTAGCTTTATATTTACTGTGTGAATGAGAGTCATTCATTTCCTGTGAACTGTTACCACTTCTTACAACAGTTGAAACAAAAGCGTGGCAGACTCGGTGTATTTAGTCTTCTAGTTTCTCCATCCATGTATGCAAGTAGTCATAGTCTGAATGATACAATTCCACCACCAGAGGGTGAACACGAGGCCCGGTGTAGATGTTTGTATGCCCCCAGATGAATTTTACATTTCCAAGCACCAACTATGCCTATAATAATATAATTAAAAATATGTAATAAACTATATTTGGCCACGACATTCATATTGATCCAAAAGCACGTGAATCTCAACCTCATCCACAGAGCAGAGTTGCTCATTTATGGGCTGGAGACAGTATGATAAAAATGAAAATAAGCAATGTAGTAGTTTCTTTGTTTTTTAAATTGTATACGTGCGGGTTAGCACTGCTGCTTCACAGCAAGAAGGTCCTACTGCACGAATCCACCATCTGTCTGGGTCCTTTCTGTGTGGAGTTTCCATGTTTTCACCCGGGGCCCGGTGACTTCTCTCCGGATACTCCCGCTTCCTCCCACAATCCAAAGACATGCGGTTCGAAGGATTATGTTAATTCGTAATTGCCCAGAGGTGTGAATGTGTCTGCCTCCCTGCGTCTAGCCCAGCGGCGAACTAGCGACCTGTCCATGTGTATCCCGCCTATAATGTATTTTTAAACCCTTCAACATAATTTAGGCCACTGTGTGTGGAATACTAACCTGAAAAACGGGCCTTCTTCCAAATAAATAAATAAATAAATACATAAAGAAACCTTTCGACCGACACGTGCTCTTTGATGCACAGCCCCGGGTTTGAGTGTAACCGCGAAGTGAGTCGCTAAATAAATAAATATATAAATAAATGACTTTAAATTAACAGTGTTACATAACTTTGGAAAAATTGAGGTTCATGATAATTAGACTATAAAGTGCATGGAATGAATCCCGAGTAACTCTGAAATAGTATAAACATTTAATATCACTAGTATCCATTACTATTACAAGTATTACTATAATCCCGTTTTGATGTTCCCGTGGTGGGCGTACAACACGAGGGGAATCGTATAAATAGGCCACTGACGCTGGACTCTCAGCTCTTGTATGATTATAAGATTTTACACGAGGATGATGCATTATGGGGAAACCTAAAGCTATATAATTTCCTATTTCAAACCCTTCCGAACAACAGCACCCTTTGTATCGGTACGTTTAATGAGCCCTTCCCTTTTACGTGATTTGCTTCGAGGCCTGTGGAAGTCAGCCAAACCAAATATGCCGGCTGTGCTTTTATTTTGAAAAGCGAAAGCGGAAATGGTGGTGTTTATTCTAGTGGTCTTAGCGCCGCTGCGGAATGGAGAGGTAGTAGTAGTTGTAGGCGTCTGAGGAGGTGACAGCGGTGGGTGACCGAACCTGTGGACGCACTGCCAGCTGTGATGGGTTAACATCGTTTGTCGAGGTACGTTTCTTACGCTGCTACTGTGACGGATCCGTTCTTCTGTAGAAAGCAGCGATAACAGCCGGGAAATCATATCCAACCCCAGAGACAGCTCAAATTAATTTCCCCTCAATGAAGCAAATTGCGTTGATGTCCGCCTGCTTTGTCATGTAACGCTAACCTAACGCTGCTTTATATGTAAACGTGCATAAAAGGCCCAAAGCGCTAAGACTGCTTTTTCCAACACTTGTTGGCTTTGCAAGCGAGTCAGGTCTGTAACACAGGACCCACAGCACTGCACGCCAGACTCCATTTGGATCTCTCACAAACTGACGCCGCTCCTCGGATAACAAGCTAAAGGTATTCACAGTGTTTGATATAGATAGAGATGTTTCATCAATCTTTATTTGCCATATTTCAGTTCGGGCTAACTCTTAATACTAGGTTTTAATGAAACGCTGGTGGCGCATCACTTATCGCCGTCTCCGTGTGTCTACCTTCAGTGAGCAGGGCGGGAGCGGCCGCTGCAAACCGGGCATAAAGTCATAAAAACGCAGTTTTCTTGTCGTCGGAAACGTGTTCATCAGCGACCTCACGGGAGCCCAGTTCTTCAGCACATGTCGATTTGTTAGTAACGTAAGATTTATTTTAATTTATAGATTAGAAACGGACCTTTCGGCATAAAGAAGTCGGTTGCCAAGCAACACATTTTTAAAGCAACATGTCAGTGTGCTCAGTTTAAAAAACACAAAGGCCGGTTTTGATCTGTCCATGGAGGTGACGGATGGATTTGGGGGGAATTTAAAAGATCTCCTACCCCCGTTGTTTACGAGTCACACGTTGAAGTGCGCCCTGCTGTTTTATTCCGAGCTCAGTCCTCAGTGTCAGGATAATGTAAGGGTGTGTGGGTTTATTCACTTCCTGGGTGTTTGTGCCCTTGTAAAGTAACAGAGTGCTGTGTGTTTGCATGCCTTGACTCATGCATTTCTCCTCTACATTCTAGCTTTTGCTGCAGTTCTTTCACAACAAGATCAACCTCGGGAATATTTAGTGGCAACTTCTTTCAGTCTGTGTGCCAAGATGGGAAACGGACTGTCGGATCATCGCTCGCTGCTCCCCTGCCTCCCCTGCTTTCAGGCTCTTCACATTGTCATTCTAGGACTGGACTGTGCAGGCAAGACCACTGTGCTGTATCGCCTGCGTTTCAATGAGTTTGTGAACACTGTCCCGACCAAGGGATTCAACACAGAGAAGATCAAAGTGTCTCTTGGAGGCAGCCGTCGGACTGCGTCTTTCCACTTCTGGGACGTAGGCGGCCAGGAGAAGCTGCGGCCTCTGTGGCGCTCGTACACGCGCTGTGCTGATGGCATTGTGTTTGTGGTGGACTCGGTGGATGCCGAGCGCATCGAGGAAGCCAAGGCAGAGTTGCACAAAATCACACGGCTGGCAGAGAACCAGGGTGTGCCGGTCCTTGTGGTGGCTAACAAACAGGACCTGCGCAATTCTCTTAGTTTGCCTGAGATGGAGAGCATGTTGTCTCTAGGTGAGCTCAACACTGCCACACCCTGGCACCTTCAGCCTGCTTGTGCCATTATCGGCGAGGGGCTGCAGGAGGGACTGGAGAAGCTCCATGCCATGATCATGAAGAGGAGAAAGGTGCTGCGGCAGCAAAAGAGGAAGAGATGATGTGCTAGTAGAGGAACTACAAACTATGAGCAGAATCTAAAGCTGCACAAGTACGGCTGAATACAGCACTGGGTTTAGCTGGAACAGTGATACCCATTCTGTCAGTTGCCCCTTTTTGTTTGGGTCTGTTCCTTCAACTGAAATGGCTTAAAGTTAGCCGGTGCTCCCACTGAGGACAGTGCAATGGATTCTGAATGCAAACAGTCATTCTAAAGTTAGTGCAGCAATACGCCGAACTCTCAAAGAAGGACAAAAAGCTTTTGTGTTTATTTGTTGAAACATGCGCTGTACCAACTTAAAAACAATCAAATAAGTCTCGATCGTGTATATTCCACCAAAGCTCTGAAAGTTGATAACGACTCACTAAGTACAGAATCACTACTGACTCCTAGAAACAGCGTCACGTGTCACAATCGCTACAGTTGAATAGAAGCTATTTTTCAGAGGTGCGCCTGTGTTCCTGCTGACACGTCTCGATGACATGACAAGAGTACACTTACACTAATTGATTTTCATCATCTGGTTACTGTTTAAACATAACAGTAATCAGATTCTTCACTTGACAGCAGTGTCAAAAGACCAAAATGTGACTCACGTGAGTTGTTTTCTTAGCATGAGGCTGCTTTTCAATCAACTGCACCAAAAAAGGGCTTTATATACTCTCTGATATTAGTTTATATTACAAAATGTAGTCAATAATTGACGTTAGTGCTCAAATATTTAAAGCTAACAACTATAACTACTGTCATAAAAAACCACAGTGAGAAGTCAGAGTCACACTTGGAGTAAGATGACAATCAGTCAGCATTATACTTTTTGATATGCAAGTGTCATCTGCATTGCTGCTAAGATGTTAGTTTTCAGGTCACCAGCCACATTTCTTCATTTATTAAGTTCTTCAGGGTCATGTCTCCTTGTATTGCAGAACATAGACTGGACCCACATGCTTTACTTGCATTGTTGTAATGTCTAAGCCCGTCCTGTGATTACTGTGCCACTGTCAGTGCTGCTAACATTGGATAAAAACTGTGATGTTAAACGTCATCTGAGAATTTATTTTCATGTTCAGTGAGTAGTGATTGTTTCCTGTTTTTTTACTTCCTTTCATGTTTGGAATTTTTGTTGTAAGGCATTAATAATACACTTTTAAAAAGTAATGCTCAAGTACTTTTTTGGACATCGATTAACATGATCAGAGTGGAAGCGTCGAAGCGTTTGGGTGTATGTAACTGTCGAACTGCTGCTGCAGTGAGATACAAGGCTGAGCAGTTCTTACTGATTGAGTTAAGGATTTGCAGCCACCGGCTTTTGCACGTCTCAGTGCTATGAACGCGAGCTTGTTCGCTTATTCAAAGGTAGCCTAACGAGGCTTTACAAGTTTACAATTTGGTAACTTTGTGGGGAAAACAGAAGCAAACTCGGTGTCACTGGTTCCAGCTGCACCACATGTGCTGTTGAAGGTAAACGTGTTATTGTGTGTCCTTGTGGGTAAGCAAATGGGTTGTGTAGCACCAAACTACAGGACTGCATCCAAAGTCGGGGTGCCCATGGATGACCGTGATGGACAATTATTTGCTATAAAACACGACTTTGATTCCACTT